GTTAATAATATAACAAAAATAATTGGGAAATTTGCTATTTTTTAAAAGATTTATTTATGCATACAAGAACTGGGGTACAGGCCAGAGGTGTGGGGGATGAGAGGATTCACCAGTGACAGTGGGGAGCAGAACAGGCAGATCTGCTGAAACACACTGCTGAGGGGAGCAGCAGGTGAGACAGGAGAATCCTGCTGTATCATGTGGGTAACCTCCCTGGCCCCGGATTGAACTCATTCTGCAGTGGCTGCGGATAGCAGCATAGTGCTGAGACCTAACCGCTTGCGCCACCAGGGAGGCCCCAGAAATTTGCTTTTTTAAAGGAAATTCCAACTTAGGTATGTTCTGGGAATTAGTTTGGTGGCAAAGCTAAGAACTGATAAAGGCACCATATATAGAACTCACTTTTGCTCTAGTTTTCATTTTACCTTTGGTGTTTAAGGATGATGCTAGTGGGGTTGTGTTGTATTACCAAGTAACTAGAAGATGATAGTGATGAGGAGCCTTCACATATAACCCAGTCCTCAGTGGCTCCATATTTCTCCAGGGCTTATGCTCACAGTCGCTGCAGCACCTGGTGTCAAACGGCAGAGGCTGCCATTTTGCACATTCACTGAGTGGACTTCAGTTCTTTTTCTCCAAAAGGAGTTCAGATTGTTATTGTTCAGGTTTTTCTATCTTTCTGTTCCTTTACATCATTTCACTTACAGTGCATAATGTGCAATGGTGTGCCAGTGCCAGCATTATGTGTTGTTTGAATAGCCTTCCTGGTAATGAATAATCCTGAGTGTATCTGTGCACTCCTACCCCGACCAAGGCTATTTTAATCATGTGCAAAGGCCCTGTGATGCAACCAGTGGCCCAGAAGTGGAAATATCATGCATATGAGGAAATGGATGAAGGCCATATGTTTGGGGCAGAGAAGAGTTTGGGCAGGATTGGAAAAACATACCCTTTGGACCATCTTAATGAACCCTTGCCCTCATTCTAAGAGCAGAGAGAATCCTCTGGAAGTTTTCCCTTTAGTTTTGTCATGTATTGGATTACTTTTAAAACGATCAGTCTTGAAGGACTGGGTTTTGTGGGTGTTGGGGTGAGGAAATGTCTTAAGAAAGAAAACCTAGTTTCATAAATGGATAGGGATAAAAACCAGAGTGGATGGGAGCTAAGAAAATGGTGATCGCATGAATAGACAGCTTTGAAAATGCTTGTTGTCCAGGGAAGAAACAGATCCCTTAATGCATTTTCACCCTCATTATATTCTCTAGACCCCTCGAAATATCTGTTCTCTTATTTCACTTTTATTACCCCTACGGCAGCCTGGATCAAGGGCCAGCCATTTCTATTGGTGTAAGTACTTTTAGAGTTTTGCTTCTCCTTATACTCAACCCCTTTCTCAAGCTCGCTGGGTCAGAAATCCACCTTCTCTTCTATACTTTAACATAATTGTGTATTTGATTAGTGTTAGTGTTGCTGCCATTTTGGACTCTTCCCACTTTTTCTTTAGATTTATTTTCATTTATTTATGCCTACAAGAACTGGGATGCAGGCCAGAGGTGCGGGGGTGAGAGGATTCACCAGAGACAGAGTAGGGAGCAGAACAGGCAGATCGACTGAAATACACTGCTGAGGGGAGCAGCGGGTGAGTCAGGGTGAGGTCTGTTGTGCCATGTGGGTCTCAAACTCATGCACAGTGGCTGGTGATAGCTTGATAGCACCAAGACTTTAACCTCTGTACCACTAGGGAAGGCCTCTTCCCACTTTATTATCCACCCTACTCACCCAACTTGCCCTACCAATTGCCCAATGTTTGCTAATATCCGAAGATTCAAGTTTTACTGGTTTAGCTTCCTTATCTCTTGGAGTTATTGTTCTCATTGCAGCTGCCTTACCTTTTGACCAGGCTGCAGTCTACTTCTTAGTGCATCAGTTAAAAAATGGGGATTGTATGTAATACATACCTTGAAATTTTGCTAAGAGTATTAATTGAATAGAATGTGTAATTTAAGGGCCTCCCTGGTGGCGCAGTGGTTGAGCACTGGGCTGTGAAGCTGCCCGCAGCCTCTGCAGCCCCGGTTCGAACCCTGGCTGCCAGGCGAGGGTCCCACATGGCGCACAGACCTCTCCTGCCGCCCGCTGCTTCCCTCAGCAGTGTACTTCGGTCCTTCTGCCTGTTCTGCTCCCCGCTCTGGCTCTGGTGAATTCTCTCACCCTCCTGCGCTTCTGACTGTACCCAGTGCTTGTATAAATAAATAAATAAAAATCTTTTTTTTTTTAAAAAAGAAAAACAGACACTATTTTTTTTAAAAAAAAAGAGAGAATGTGTAATTTAAATAGAATGTGTGAAACATGTAGCATAACATTTTGGTGCTAAGGGATGTCGTAGGCCTCGTTTGTTTCCTTCTCACTAATCCATCTCCCTGGCTCTATTTTTAGCCACTTCGCGTTTTTCTCCTGTTGCCAGAATGGTCCCATTGCTTATAGTCAAACTTCTCTCAGGTCTCAGTCCAGGTCCCAAATCCAGCACCATCCTTTAGGATCTCTTCCTTCATATCTTTCTAGTCTTACAAGCCTTTCTTTTTATATCCTGGCTCTATAAGACTGCTGGATGTCCTTCAAAATTCCTGTATTTGGCTTTCCATTTTTAGTTTTCAAAATCAGAGTAAGCTTTCCTCCTTTCCTCCTTTCCCTCTGTTTGGCGTAACTACTATCTATGTGCATGTACACACACACACACACAGGTATATAGCAAGTGCATTTATCTCGTGAGCAAGGGGCGGCATGGAATGGGCTCTTCCATCTTCAGATTATCTTGTGAACCATGTAGCATATGAGAAAAGTACTTCTTACCATTTCAATAATTTGGGTCAGTTGTTTCGGAAATGTCTTTTCCTAAAGGCTATGAAGTTACAGAGCTGACACTGCTATGATCTTAAGCCAAAATCTGTGTGGTTGCTTGATTTTTTTTTCCCCCTAAAGGGTGTCGAATCCATAATGAGGGACACCTATCTCCCACTGCCCTTGGAGAGCTAGAAATTAGATATAGTAATTAGATAATAGATTTAGCATGTGTGTTCATCTGTTGCATAAAGTGGGGGTTAAAATGCATTGTCTTTGTTTCTGTCCTTTATAGAGGCCTGAGTCTGAACTAAATTATAACTCAGGTAAGGTAATGTAATTATAACTCAGGTAAGGTGATTCTATGAGAAGAGTTGGGAGAAGTCACCCAGGAACTTTGTCGTCGTCTTCTTTTTTTTTTTTTTAAGATTTATTTATTTATACGAGAACCAGGGTACATTCCAGACGTGCGGGAGGGTAAGAAGATTCACCAAAGCCAGAGCGGGGAACAGAACAGGTAGACCGACGAAATACACTGCTGGGGGGAGCAGCGGGCAAGACAGAAGAGGTCTGCCGCGCCATGTGGGACCCTCGCCAGCCAGCCGGGATCGAACCTGCGCTGCAGAGGCTGCAGATAGCTTCACAGTGTGGTGCTCAACCGCCTGCGCCACCAGGGGAGGCCCCCAGGAACTTTGTCTTCTAATAGAATTTAAAGAATTTATGTGTATGGCCATTTAACAGGATCAGGGTAAAGGGCATTAGCATGTGGTGAGTGGCAAGCACTCTATGTACCTTATGTCACTTAATACCTGAAAATTCTCAGGAGATAAGTGAGTGCTTATAGATGAGAAAATTGAGCACTAGAAGCTCAATTTGCCCAAGAAGCAAAGGTTGTTAGACTCTCAGTTATGAGACTCTCTCACAAACAGCAATGTTTGAGAAACAGTGTGTACCTTAGCTTTTCTCAGCTTGGGTTTCTTAATGTTGATTATTCTCCAGACCTTGGACTGTTTACTGTAGACAGTTTGAGGAGGGGGGAGCAGTGATGTCTTGGTTCTGTGTATGAGTTCCTCCTGGAGTTGGTGGTCTTTCCCTTTCTCTTCCTTTCAGTACCATCAGAGCCATAAAAATACGTGGCTTTCTGTTAACAGGGTTTTGAAGTGTATCCTTGTATGTAAATAGAAAGCAGATGTTTAACAGAATAGGGAAGAAGTGAAATTCATAGCAGATACATATTCTGAATAGAGTATCTGTGTCTAGAGTCTGGTGTAGCTTAGAGTTCAGGATTCAGTGCCACGAGTTAGGTGGTGGTGGTAGCAGTACAAGATCACCAGCAACAGCTAACATTTGTTGTGCTGTATCATGTGCATTTGAGTGTGTTACATTTGTTAGAAACATTTATTTGGGGTTATTGTTGTATACATTTTTAAGGTACTTCTACTTTTATAGCTTTTTAAGTTCTCTCAGTAACTCTGGAGGCAAGTAGTGTTGTCTTCAATTTATACGTGAGGAACTTCAAGCACAGAGAAGGTAGGAAACTATAAGATCACACAGCCGGTATAGACTGTACTGACCTGGCAGTTCAAAATCTGAGTTGATTCATATTTGTATTGTTAACCACTAAAGTACATGGCTGAAATGTCTCTCAAGTAATGTACTATTATTCTTTTCCTGGATTGGACTCAATGTGCTTTTTCCGGGGCATTGGTAAGTTTATCTTCAGAATAAAAACAACAAGTTCTGGTGGGGCTACAGCTAAGTTGTTTGACTTACTGAAGTGCCCCCAAGAAAATAAAGCAGTCCTTTCTATGTGTTATTAGCAATAAAATTTTAAATATTCAAACATGAACATGCAGATTTCATGAAGGTGCTTTATTTATTCTGCAGGGTATCACTGAAATGGACAATTGCATATGTTTAAATGCTGGCTGGTGGATTAAGTTGTTTTGGATTATAGCAGATAAAGAATTTTTAAAAGGTTTGGCATAAGAGGTAAAGCAAGTATCTTTTCTGTTTTAGTAAGCAGTGCTAATGAATTCTAAAAATGTATTTTGCAGGAAGAAAGCTTGACCTAACATTTTTACTGGCTAAGTGATACCAAGTAATATGTTCTAATGCATTTAAATTAAAGTATTTCCCCCACTCTCCCTTTTTTTTCCCTTCAGTTCTTCACCAAAGAACATGGATGAAAATGAAAGCAACCAGTCCCTAATGACAAACAGGCAATATCCTCAAGAAGCAGTGAGGAAACGCAGTCATTCAGCACGGAATTCTGGAGGAAATGATTCTTCTAGATTTTCTAGGAAAAGTTTCAAGTTGGATTACAGACTAGAGGAAGATGTAACTAAGTCAAAGAAAGGAAAAGATGGGAGATTTGTTAATCCGTGGCCGACGTGGAAAAGTCCCTCCATTCCAAATGTTCTCAGATGGCTGATAATGGAAAAAGATCACAGCGGGGTTCCAAGTTCCAAAGAGGTAGTGTTTGACTTTTTTGAGTGCCGTGTATTTACTCTGTATTTATGTTCCTTCACTTTGCTGTGAATTGTATTCTGACATTCAGTTGAGCCTTCTTTTTTTATGATCCGGCATAAGGCTGGCTTCTGGGGATAAAGTGAGTAAGATGCCCTCAGGTTCATAGTTTAGCAGCAGAGTACACATAGCAATAACTGTCTGACCTGGTGGTAACTAGACCTAGGAGTAGAGTGCTAAGAAGTATAGGAAAAGGAAGTAGCTAATTCTGCCTAATGAGGCTAGAAAAATGGCTTTCCAAAGGAGGTGATATTTGAGCTAGGAAGATAAGGATGTATTTATTTTGAAGGTAGTTTTCCAAGTGGATGATAGCAGTAACCATGCAGTCATGAAGGTAAGTGGTATGTTCTAGAAAGCAGTAACCCAATGTGTGTTTAGAATCTGGCTTATAAAGATTAGGAGCGTGCCTGGAGCACTTGGTGTTTCACCCTTGGACAAGGCTGTTGAGGCTATGAAAGACTCTTCAGATTACCTTTCCAGACCTTTAAATATTGTCTATAAGTTACTCTTCTTTAAATATGCTAGTTATATTTAGGATGAACTGTATCAATGATTGGCATGAAATGTATTAGGTGAATGATACTGCTTTGTCAGGAGTTGGTGATTGCAGGAGCAACTTTTCTGTTTCTCACCCTTCCACCCCATCTCCCTTGGCCTCTTTTTTCCACCAACCTCTGCCCTGCCAGACTTTGTGGGGTGTTGAGATTAGGAAGCTGACGTTGGTTCTGGGGGAAGGAAGGGAAGAGTGGCCGTCCTTAAAGGCTGGATCTGCAGCAGGAACAGACAGGATGGGGACTGGGTTGGTGATGGTGGTGTTGGAGCTTTTATTTGGGCAAGTGTGTACTTTTTTGTTGTTGTTGTTAGAGGGATATGGGGTTTTTAAAGTCCCTGTCATGATCGCTTTGTTGACATAGTGGATTAGTGTGAATAATTAACACTTTTTTAGAATTCCACATTAATAGATAAAACATTGTATGTTTCCACACTGAGGATGGGAGGCACAAGAAAATTACTTTTTCTTCTGGAGAACCCAATATGCAGAGAAAAGTGAACTCCAGTTGTGAGGAGGACAGTTAGGGCAAGAGGCCAACCGCCTTGGAAATGCCAACAGAATGCATAGCGGAGATGCATGATTGGGACGAATAGGGTAACCTTTGAAAAAATGAAACACACCAGTTATTTTACATTGAAACTATAGTATGCTGACAGGTTGCTTTTTTTATCTAGGAAAAAGAAACATGTATATGTATTTTAGAAAGTTACAGGACAGAAAGTCTCGTAAGACAAATACCCGTGTCTCAACCAGCCTCTTCCATGCAGCGATCTAGCCTCAGAGCAACTTCCAACCCTGTAAGCTGAAGTCTACCTTCGCAGTTACCACAAACCATAAAATGAAAAAGAACAAATCAACCTTGTAAGATCTGTAAGTGTCCACTGTCAGTGCTGTACAGCAGCGCTCCAGGGCATATCCTCTTGCCTCCCTGGAACTTCTGCCTGCGGATGAGTGATCACCCATTTCCCTTCCCCCGGCCCCTGGCGGTCCCTCTTGGATTTCATGACTTCACCTCTTTTAGGTACCAGTGAGCGCCCTCTTGCAGCGTGTGTCTTTGTGGCCCATCTATTTCTAAGGAATACAGGGATGTGCGCCCTTTCCTGGCCTTACCTCCTGCCTTCACAGTGGACGTCGGAGGGAACTCACTCTGTCCTCACCCGCTCTTCCCCACGCGCTCCTCCAGCTTTCCCTGTTTGCTCGAGGGGATGCGTCACAGTTTTTGGTTCCATTTTTAATTTTACTGCTTACATTATTGTGACTATGTCAGTGGTGTTCACGATTAACCAAGCAATGTTTGACGGTCGTACTTTCTTATATACGCCCCCCCACCCCATGTTCATGATCCCTCTGGCTTTCTCATCTCTTTAACTTCTCTGTACTTACAACTCATCAGTGTCCTTCCATTCCTTAACTTCTCAGTATAACTTTGCTGCGGGAGAGCCCCTCGGTGGTCCAGTAGGTAGGGCTGTAATCTAGGCTGGCAGCTTCCATTCTGGGGTCTCTCTCCCAGTACACGTGCCTCTTCTGCCTTGGCCCCCCCTCTCCTCCACCCCACTTGTGCCTCTTGCCTGGACACTCTCATCTTGCTGGAGCACATTCTTAGTTTCCTGAAGAAGGGTACGTGGGAACTAAAGTTTTTGAGATCTTGCTTGTCTGAAATGTCTTTGTCCTTGTTCTTAATGGATTGTGTGGATATAGAATTTTAGCCATTTTTGTACTTGATCCTTTGTGCTTGATCTTTCCTCTGTAGAAACTTTGAGGGCCATACCTTTGGTATAAAATACCTTTGGTAAAAATACTCTGGAATTATACTATAATGTGTGGTTCTTTAAAAGATTTATTTATGCATGCATGCAAGAACTGGGGTACAGGCCAGAGGTGCAGGGGGTGAGAGGAGTTGCCAGAAAGCCTGGGGAGCAGAACAGGCAGACTGACTGAAATACACTGCTGAGGGGAGCAGCGGGCGAGTCAGGAGAGGTCTGCTGGGCCATGTGGGTAGCTCCCTGGTGGGGGATCGAACTCCTGCTGCAATGACTGTGGATTGCTTTATAGGTTGTGTCTTAACCCTTTGTGCCACCACGGAGGCCCCTAATGTATGATTCTTTATTTGCCATGCTTGGTGGCCCTTTGGGCCCTTTTGATGTGAAAATCCATTTTCTTTAGTTCTTTTCATTCTAAAATGACAATTATATTTTGGACTTCCTCGATCAATCCTTTATAATTTAATTTTATGTGTTTATTTCTGTCTCTAGTATTTGTACAGATTTCCTCAAGAAGTTTTCATTTTGAAATACTTACTATGCATCTCATAGAGTGATAGGTGAAAATGTCATGAGAGGTTTTTTAAAACAGATTACAAACTGTGAATGCCACATGATCTCTAACTGTGCAAACAGAACTGGCAGTGAAAATCCATGTCAACGGGGGTTACAGTCATCCCATGTTGATATAGCAGCTGGCCACTCTTTCTGTTTTCCTGTAGTGTCCAAACATTCAATGAAGGGCATTTTATAATCAAGGAGCTTAGAAGAGATAAGCCATTTTGATGAAGCTTACACTCCTATCATGGATAACATGGCAAAAAAAAAAAAAACCCCTAAAACATCATTAATAAATAATTGGAGGTATTAGTTAGCATAGATCTATTCAGTGTTTATATCTATTGTCTAAATATGTAAAATAAGATATTTTTTATTTAAAAAATCTGAGCTTCAAAGTATAGTTATTAAAGTTTCTTGACAGTAAAAATGTACCTTCAGCTGGAAGAAAAAGATTAACTTGTCTACTTTGAAAATGATTTTTTTTTTGTTAAGATCTATGCATCTATGCACACAAGAGCTGGGGTAAAGGCCAGAGATGCAGGGGTGAGGGGGTGAGAGGACTTACCGGAGACAGAGCGGGGAGCAGAACAGGCAGGCAGACTGAAATACACTGCTGAGGGTAGCAGCAGGTGAGACAGGAGAGGTCTGCCTCGCCATGTGGGTAGCTCCCTGGCCGGCTGGGTATTGAACTCGTGCTGCGGATTTGCTTCATAGTGTGGTGCTTAACCCCTTGCGCCACCAGGGAGGCCCTGATTTTTTTTTTTTTAAGAGGTAAAATATATAGCCTCCATCCTAAAGGGTTTTTTGATTCTAGTTGGGAAGAGAACACATATACACATAAAAATAAGAGTAACTGCCACTTGACAAGTTCCATAGAGAAAGCAGACAAATTAAAGACCCTTGAGGAATTCATCCAGTCTAGTTAAGAAAATTCAAAAATAGGTGAGAAGTTAAAAAGTGTATCATCACATTAGCAGTTGGAAACAAAGAAATGGTACTAACGAGAGCACAATGCAGCAACAAAGCAGCACAGAGAACTGTAACTTAGTTTTAGACATTGAGAACAAGCAGGCCGTCACAAAATGCTATCAGGCCAGAGTGGAGAAGGAAAGCTTTTAAAAATGGAAACTCCAGTAAGGCCTTGTCTCTGGGTCAGCCATTGGTATGGACAGAAATTGTTGTGCACAGCCCTGTTAGGACTCCGGCCTGTAGACCCCGACTGTGTTCAGCGCCGTTGAGACTCAGACAGTTGCCCTCCCTTGTGAGTTCCTGGGAGGAACCCTGACGGCTTTCCCCTTACGGCTCATCAGCCCCACTGTGGAGGCTCGGCCTCTGGGGCCTCCCTGCGTCTAGAGGCCGGTGCCTGTGCTGCACACAGTGGGCCTGCTTACCTCAGGGTTTCACTGTTCACCCTGAAAGGACCTTGAGACACACAAAAATGAAGCAAATGGCAAGCTGAAAGGAAAGCTATTTGGTTTTTGTTTGTTGTATGTAAATTAAAAAGATTACCCTAAAAAATAAGATTTAGAAAGTGTAACAATTTGCATGAAATCTCTTTTTGCTAATGCAGATACTCTTAAAATAAGTATATTAACAAGAATATGGATTTCATTATTTTAAAGTTATTATGTTTTATGCCAAGGAAAGAGTTATGGTTTAGTGAAAACAGGGAGGGTCTTGATTCCAGTTTCTCTGAATGGAACACTTACCATATGACCCGGGCAAGTTTCTTAATGACCCCCCTTTGTTTGGTCTGGTTATCTATAAAATAGCAATAAGGCCCGCTTCACGGAGGCAGGTGGCATCATGTACTTCAAGCACCTGGCAATGGTGACACCTGAGTGAATGTAAGGGTTTTTCCTTTTCCCCAAGAAAAGTAGAACATTAACTCCCGTACTAGTTAATACAGATGTAGGGATTTTCCCATTTGCCAATTTAGAGAAGGATGATCAGCCAAGAAAAATCTTGACCTAGCAAAGAAAATGCTGAGTGAATGTTTGGTTTGCTCAAATAAACAAGAATTTCACTACCCTCCCATCTTACATGCTTTTTAGACTTATGATTAGGGTAGAAGGTAAATTATTTATTAGGGGTAGGGGGAAATCTCAGTGGTACACTCTTTTGAGTTTTATGGGGTGGTAGTGGTGGACATCACCTTCTTTAAAGTAAGTTGCTCTTAGATGGGTACAGAAACAATATAGCTTGAAGAAAGGAACATGAGAGGCCTCCCTGGTGGCTCAGGGGTTAAGTCTCAGCACTGTGAAGCTATCTGCAGCCACTGCAGCCTGAGTTCGATCCCTGGCCAGGGAGGTGACACATGGTGCAGCTGACCTCTCCTGTCTGGCCCGCTGCTCCCCTCAGCAGTGTATTTCAGTCAGTCTGCCTGCTCTGCTCCCCACTCTGTCTCTGGTGAATCCTCTCACCCCCCTCCCCCAATCTGTGGCCTGCACCACAGCTCTAGTATGCATAAATCAATCTTTGGGGGAGAAAAAAGGAACATGGGAAAAAAAAAGCTTAATTCAGATCCCTGATCAATATTTTATTTTCTTTAGAAGACAGTTTTGTTGAAAGATAATCCATACTATACAACTGATCTGTTCAAAGTGTTCAGTTCAGTGGTTTCCTATATAGAGTTGTGCAGCTGCCACCACTATCTCTAATACATCTTCATCACCCCCAAAAAGAAACCTCGTGTCCTTGGCCATTGTCCCTTCTAGTCCCTGGAAATCATCAATCTGTTTTCTGTTTCTGGATTTACCTGTTCTGGATACTTGAAAACAGGGTTGTATAATAGGTGGTCCTGTGTGACTAGCTGCTTTCAGTACCTTGTGTGTTAATCCTTGGTTTGGAGAACAAATTGAGGCTACCAGAAGTGTTGTGTTAAAGGTTTTCTTTCCCGTCAATGATCAGCGGACAATGTCAGATTGAACTTCATGTGGCTTTTAAACAAATAGTAAAAAAATGAAAAAGCTCATTTTCAGGAATTCTGTTATTTTGATGTATGGTTGAAACATGATGTTACTTAAAATGTTGCTAACATAAAACAGCTCTGCATATTCAAAAAGTACAACTTGATGAGCGTTGACATATGTATATACCCACAGATAATCACTGTACTCAACATAATGAATAGCTCCATCATCCCAGTTTTCTTAAGTTCTATCTTACTCTCTCCCATGGGATCCCCAGCTATTGCTTGTTTTTGTTTTGTTTTGTAAATGTGTACTGAGACTATCTGGCAGTAAGTATAGTGGTGAGAGGCAGTATGGAGGCCAGCGGGGTGACCTGCGCGTGCTCTAACTTCATCTGTAATAATACCTACCACTGCTGTTATGGTCACTATTCAACAGGTTTTAAAAAGCAGTACAATATCTAGACCGCAGGAAGCACTCCACAAATGGTAGCTGTTGTTATACTAACATACTTGATGTCTTAATTCATCATCTTCATTATTTTGTGCTTAGTACGAAGTCTGCACTTGGCAGGTACTTAGTTTATTTTCATTCCGTCCCGATCCTCCTTCATTCTTGGTAAATAGTCTATTTGGCAATTACTAGTATTGTTTATTAATTATCAACTTTAAGAAATGGAGAATTTACATTTGTTCATCGTTTATCAGCGGATGTGTTTATCACCAAATAGGGCATTGTCATGGTTCTGGCTGAGGAAGGCGTGAGGTACCTTGTGTCTGCATCTAACCAGACTACAGGGCAGAAAATCCAGATGTGAGAACAAAGTGGCATGAACACTGAGAGGCAGGAGCGCGTCCGGCGAGGAAGACTCAGGGACGGCCCCACGATGGCTGTGCGGTTTAAGGTCTCGGGGTGAGACCGGGAAGACACTGTAACGGGCGTGGAATCGGCACCACGCGGGCTCCCAAGCTTAGCGCAGGGGAGGGAATGGTCCAGTGTTGGGCGGAACAGTTGCAAGGGGGGGCTGGCTGAAAACAGCTGGAAGAGGGGGGTCAGGGCAGTCCACTGACAGCCTCATCACTGGCTAGGGGGGTTTTGTCAAGCAGTAGAGCCAACGATGATGGTCAGCAAGGAACTCTAACTGTGAGGAGACTGTTTTGAGGTGTCTCCTGTGTATGGAGTGAGTTGGCAAGAAGACAGAATAGCCATCCTCAAGTTTTTAAAGGGTCTGTTACTTTGTATCTTTACTAGGTTCCTGACTGATAAAGGAAACCCCTTAAGGTGCAAGTGACTGCTGGTTGGCGGCAGGTTGCTGCTTTTCTTTTAGAATATTCGGAGCGCTTCGGGACGGCCACTCCAACCCAGTCCCCACAGCAGCGCAGGCGGTTACTGTGCTCATTTTTCAGATGCGAAAACAAAGGGTTAGAGTTGTAATAGAAATCTTCCTACTCCGTCCCCTGAGCTGCTCCTTTTCTTCCCCTGCCCAAGCCCTTTCCCGATTCAGCCCATCGCAGTGACCGCATTTCCTTCACCAGCTTCTTCCCCGCCTGCCCTCTTTTTTCAGGACCTAATCTCTCATGGCAGCTGTGGTGACCCACTGCAGGTTACAGGTCCTCCGTTGCCTCCAAGTATTTCACCTAAACGTGAACAGACTTGTGTCTCTCCCCCGCTCCCCCCACCCCACACACATACCGCCTCATGCCTTCTGGGTGGAGAACAGCACCAGCAGCTCTTACTGTGTTCTCATTCTTTCACAGTTGTTTGTCCCCTGTCCCCAAATGCCACTGTCCTGCTTGGCTGTCTTTGCTGAGCAATTCTCCACCTGAAACGCCCTTCTTTCCTCTGCACCATAAGCTGCTTATCCTTCTTGCCAGCTGCCACCTGGGAACACAGGTCACCCTGTCAGAACTGTGGCCGCTGGGCCCTTTGTCCTTCCCCAGGGGCGGTATAGTGGCATGCATTTAATTCCATGCCATACTTTTCCCAGGATTGATTTGTGCCAACTTACAAAAATACATGTATGGATAAAAACAGTAGAAAATAAAACCAATAGCATGATCAGCTTTTACCCTGAGCTTCCTAGGCAAAGCAAAAAGGGAAGTGCCGGCTAACGACAGTCAAAGGAATAAAGCCAGATGCTCTGGAGAAGAGCCTTTCCGGTTACTGAGTCCGAGAGGTCTAAGGGGAAGAGGCTGGCGGAAGTCCTGGGTCTCGACGGTAGCACCTACACAGCAAGTGCTTTGAGACGGCCTCTTGAAAGGGGCCCTGATGTCAAAGCTTACTTCATGAGAACAGCTTCTTGTTGGTCTGCCTTCACCCAAGGATGAAAATAACCAAAGAAATGAAAGATCACATTCTGTTGTAGCTAGCATTTCACATCCGAGAAATGAGACTCCTCCCCCCGGGCAGGAACCATGTTTCACTTTGTTTTGATCAATGACAGAAACCCTTAAGGGGCAGGACTGTGGCGAACGGTCTATTGACTGCGGTTTGCCCAGGAGTCACCACAGCACTCTGCTGATTTCTGTGTACTCCGAAAGTAAAGGTTTGTACCTCAGATCCAGGGTCTACGAATAGCCCTCCTTTTTCTTCACTGTTTCCAGGACTGACCTGCTTCTGGGACAGTTCTTAACAGCAGAGGCAGCAGCCCAGTGAAATGGCACTAGCAAAGTGAATGCATCGGGGCCATCTACTTCTGGACTTAGAGAGTGTTTAAAACATTTAATTCAGCAGAACTCTAAATTTAAAAATTCCCCGTTGTCATATTTCAGACTAAGATGTCCCACTGCGGTTTGCCATGGTTGTTGGATCAGATTCAGAAAGAAGTGCATGCATTTTCAAGAGAAAAGCAAAAATAGCCAATTTACCGAATGACGTCAGTTTTCCCCAAATAGCCCTCCCTCTTCTCTAGAATTTAGGTCAAATGTGTTCTGTGATGACATAATACCTTTTATTTTTCCTAAGAGTTGCTTCACTTCTTGTATACACAGGAACTTGACAAAGAACTCCCAGTGCTAAAGCCATATTTTATCGATGGCCCCGAAGAAGCCCGAGTGAGAGAAGCTGGCCTGCGGGTCACATGGCTGGGACACGCCACGGTGATGGTGGAAATGGACGAGCTCATATTCCTGACGGATCCGATCTTTAGCTCTCGTGCTTCACCCTGGCAGCACATGGGTCCCAAGCGTTTCCGCCACCCGCCGTGCACTATAAGTGAACTCCCCCCTATTGACGCTGTCCTCATCAGTCACAACCACTATGACCACCTGGACTATAACTCCGTCATCGCTTTGAATGAGCGATTCGGTAATGAGCTGAGATGGTTTGTGCCTTTGGGCCTCCTCGACTGGATGCAAAAATGTGGCTGTGAGAATGTGATCGAGCTGGACTGGTGGGAGGAGAACTGTGTCCCTGGACATGATAAGGTCACCTTTGTCTTCACACCTGCCCAGCACTGGTGTAAAAGGACTCTACTGGATGACAACAAGGTTCTGTGGGGCAGCTGGTCTGTCTTGGGGCCTTGGAATCGATTTTTTTTTGCAGGAGATACTGGATATTGCCCAGCATTTGAAGAGATAGGAAAAAGATTTGGGCCTTTTGACCTTGCAGCTATTCCCATTGGAGCTTATGAACCAAGGTAGGTGGACTTCCAGGGAAAATATTCCAGCTCCATAAGTTAACTTTTTTTTTTTTTTTTTTTTTTTATATAGAGGCATGTTTTCTTTCTTTCTTTCTTTATTTGTTTGTTTTTGTTTATACATGCACTGGGTACAGTCAGAAGCGCGGGAGGGTGAGAGAATTCACCAGAGCCAGAGCGGGAAGCAGAGCAGGCAGAAGGACCGAAGTACACTGCTGAGGGGAGCAGCGGGCGGCAGGAGAGGTCTGCACGCCATGTGGGACCCTCCTCCGGTGGCCGGGGAGCAGCCGGGGATCGAACTGGCGCCGCAGAGGCCGCAGGCAGCTTCGCAACCCAGCGCTCAACCGCTGCGCCACCGGGGAGGCCCTCCATAAGTTAACTTAATAGTAGTTCTGATGTTACGATGCTATATAATCGTGGTATTTAGTGGTGGACTATGTTATACATTGGTTGGGAGTTGTTGAGTCAGGTTAACTTAAATTTAAAGATAGAATGGATTAAACTATCAGTTAAATATTTTCAAAATCAAAAATATTACCAAGAAGGACTGACCAAGGGTTAAGGAATTATCTAGCCAGAAGTCGCAAAAGCTAACTGCTGAGTCAGTAATCAAGCCTCTATCTTACTTTTCCTTTCCCACAGAGGGGAAGGAACTACCTTTACGTACCCACCTTTCCTCCCATGAGTGGAACGCACTCAACCCAGTCCTACAGCTCTTTGCTTAGCAGAAAAAGATGAGGAATTGATTGACAGCAGTAGTCCCTTGCGATGGTCGCATTTCGGTCATGCTGTGGTTAAACTGGTAATGACAGCACTGCCTTACTCACCACTCACCCACCAGCCTCTGCATATTGAGCAAGCCGGCAGTGGAGACCTAGGAGATCCAGCCCCTGCCTTTTTAAGTCTATTTAAGGAAAAGTAATTTCCAAGCATTCATTTAAGATTTTACTCAACTCTAGTAGATACCTACAAGTAAAGAGAAAATAAATACTGATAGTAACAAAGGGCTGGTTTAAGACACTTTATTCTAAAGCACATGCCTAGATGTATAAATAATTATATACAGGATTGCCTTTTATTTAGGTGATCCTACAAGCAGAACAGTTGTTTCATTAATACATTGTTGAAATGAGAGAATTTGTTTCCACCTGACTTTATTATATTTTAACCATAAGTAATTCTTTTCTCCCATTTTTTTTCTTTAAGGGACCAGCTATTCTTATTTCTAAAATGATACGTATTAGTGCTTGAATTTAACTTTTTCATTTAATTCTAATTTCTGTTCAAAGCTGCAATCAACCTGTTCTCAAACCAGTTTCATATGGTATTGATCTTTACTTAGTATAGTCTTAATGTTAGGATACTTACTTGCCCTTACGAAATTACATTTTCATGTGCAGCAATATATAAATTGGTCACATATGTGATGACATAATACGTACAGCCAAACTTAATTTTACACTAGTTCCCCCTTCATGCTTCGCTGCAGATGGGAGGACAGTATTTGCTCTAAAAGAATTGTAATTGTGGTAGTTTATATGGTGTAAATGATTTCTCTGGTAATGTTTTAAAAATGTTATCAATAAAACCAGAGTATTCTATAAGCATAAGATTATTACACTAGGGTAATTCTGAATACGAGGGAGATTTCATTCTTACTTCTGGGATGATCTGACACCAGGTATTCTATCCACGTCAGGGTTTTAAGATTCTGATTTTTATTTTTTACCTCAGAGTAAAAAGTCTTATTTCAGATAGCTATGAAGGTAGAAAGAGAATTGGTCTATTCCTTGGGTTTGCAGTGGGAGTTAAACTCGAGAAGCACCAGCAACTGTTCTCTTGCCCCAAATCCTAGCGTCACGAGGCCTGGACACAGCGCAGCACTGATCTGCCCTGGAGAACACAGCAGCTTTGTACTGGGCTCTCACGGGGCCTGGCCACTCCCGATAGTAAAGGACAGCCCTCTAGCTGTTGCAGATGGGTGAACTTTTCCATGATGTGCTCTAGAAAGTGCAGAAGCAGCTGTGCTGACTCCATATCCGTTAGCTGTATGGAGCATTGGTTGCGAGCCTGGGGTGTAAATAATGTGAAGACAGCACTGCTGTCTTCCCTCTTCTGAACCGATGGCTGGGAAGGTAAAGGACTTGTGCTCGGCTAGCATGCTTTCCCCCCGGTATTGGAAATTATCCTTTCTCCTGAAGGTGGTTTTGTCAACTCTTCACTCTTGGGAGAATTCTACCAAGCAGGTACTTTCTACAAACTTTCTCCTTAATGTGCTTATTTTTTTCCTTCAAATAGATTTAGTTTTATTGTCACTCCTCAAACCTCCTTCTGCCATGTTGTAATGGTTGGGGTGTCCAATACAGTCAGTAGAAGTGTTAAGAACTTAAATTCTTGCCTTATTCCTGAGGTTAGAAGAATATTCCTCTTTTAAACACTAAGTTCAATGCTAGCAATTGGTTTTTAGAGACGTGTTTATCCTTTAAAGGAGATTCTCGCCTTAGTTTGCTCAGGTTTTAGCAACAATGAACTTTGACAAGTTTTTTTAATAATTTGCGAAGAGCACATGGTATTTTATGGAGAGAAGTTATTAACACATTGATTGGTTTTCAAATGCTCAATAGACCTTGTATTCCTAAGAAAAATCCCACTTGATGTTGAATTATCCATTTTGTACATCACGCTTACATACATCTTTACTGTTAGTGGCAGTACTACTGAGACACCCTCAGCAGGCATTACCACCGCAGTGCGCCCACCAGCCACTCGCCCACCATCTACCACCACAGTCCCCACTGCCTCCTTCCCTCGTTCTTACCCCTCCCACATCTTACCCCCACAACTCTGTCTTCTTCAATCACTACGTTCCACCTATCCTACCCTGAATAGCCACTGCCTTATTTTTGCTTTTGATCTCTAAATATAAAATTTTTGTTGACCTTTTGCTTTTAGCAAGTTTTAAAAATGTTGTGGTAAATTATTCAGGTTCTCATGCAACTAGTTTTTGGTTTTTAGTTGTTTACTGATTATTTGCTTTTTTTGATTGATACCAGGATTGCAGAGTATCTACTTACTAAATTAATAGACAGGTCTTCAGAATAAGTCATCAGTAAAGTCAAAATACCATGAGACAACATCTTGGGTAAAGGAGCTATGCCTAGAATTCTACTAGTCAGGGTTCTGGGATCAAGCAGAAAGATACTGAAAAGCTTTCACTCCTTTCCTGGGTCAGGGGAGTTTTGCTTGGGACTTACCTATTGAATAGCAATTCGAAGACAAAAGAATTTTGCTTATTTTTTTCCAGCAGGAAAAACTAGACTTAAGGGAAATGGTCTGCTTACTATGATTTATTCTTGTGCAGAAGCTTAAAGGTTGATGAGACAAATCAGTAATTAGAATTCAGTGTCTATTTTAAAGACCAAAATAAATGAATTCTTGTGTTCTATCAGGTGGTTTATGAAGTATCAGCATGTAGACCCAGAAGAAGCTGTAAGGATTCACATTGATGTTCAAACGAAGAAGTCGGTGGCAATTCACTGGGGAACTTTTGCCTTAGCCAATGAGGTGAGTTTGCTCATGATAAAAATAATTAGCTATGTGCTGGACCTAGGATAGGATTCAAGCATGCCATCCCCTAGTGGTGTTTTTAGATACCAAACTGGAATCAAAACCTGCCCAGCCATCATAGTCACCAGATGAACTAAGATGATAAATCATGTCAGTTAGTAAAGCATTTATACACTGGGGGGGTGGAGGGGGGAACCCTCATGGCCTGCCTATTCTGGCTCCATGGTTAACAAAGCATGTATTTATATAACCAAAAATCTGTAGTCTTGGGGAACAGAAAAATGATCACTTCCCTCACGTGTTGAAAGGAGTAAATGCTGTATGCAACCTAGAACAGATAAAGTGGTCTGAGTCAGGACTGTCTGGCGGGATCAGGGAGAGCTTCATGCAAGAGGGAAGGTGAATGTGGCTATGTGAAAGCGAGGAGGAAGGCGTTTCAGGAGAAGGAAAAGGCAGAGCATGGGACTGGAGGCAGCAAGCATGGGAAGGGCTAGTTGAGCCGCAGTAGTGACCGGGAGCACAAGAGGGGAAGTACGGCCAGACAGTTTGGAACTTCTGGGGACAGTAAGTTGTTCAATGAGGAATCCTTGCTTCGGTGTCAGCTGTGTGAGTTTCTGGGATAATTGATGGTGTTAGACCTAGACTAACCCAGGAGAGCTGGTTTTTCCTTACAGTAGCTACGACCACTTGTCAGGGTTTTGGGATCAAGCAGGACAGCAAAAGCTTTCTCTTTTCCTAGATTCAGGGCCAGCCCTAAGCAAAATTTGGAGACGGACAGTTGAACTGGCTTCTCCGGATTTGTTTTGTGTGGCCTCTTCCCCATGTAGCATGCCTCTGCAGCAACCCTGTGTTTTCATGTCATTTTAAGTTCTCTCTATTTCTGGCCTCCCTCTTCCTAAGTTGCATCTTGTTCCAAAATTACCTAATACACTGTCTGCCCTCTACCAGCCTTCCCAGCAAAATTAATCTCACTTGAGATTGAAGAGAATGTGTGTGCTTGTGCATTTGGAGAAGGGGAGTTTATTACTGGTTTCTAGTGGCAGGTCACTATTTGGAGGTAATTTTGTATGCCGTGTGTATGTGTGTTCTATTGTGGCTTGAGCTAGAAGATACACTAGCTACTTGGATGAAGTGAAGTGGTATTTTATTAACTTATGGAAAGAGGATTCCAGAATGACTTCTATTGAGCAAATGGATAAACAGTTGTGCTCTCAAATGTGATAGGGGAGATGAGGATAGAAAACTTCATTTAAAAATTATTATAGGGCCTCCCCGGTGGCCCAGCGGGTTCAGCGCCGCGCTGTGAAGCTGTCCGCAGCCTCTGCAGTGCGGGCCCGATTCCCAGCCGGCCAGGGAGATTGCCACATGGCGTGGCAGACCTCTACTGTCTCGCCCGCTGCTCCTCTCAGCAGTGCTTTCGGTCCTCCTGCCTGTTCTGCTCCCCGCTCTGTCTCTGGTGAATTCTCTCACCCTCCCGCACCTCTGACCTGTACCCCAGCTATTGCTTTCAATAATTTTTTTTTAAGATTTATTTTTTTATACAAGAACTAGGGTACAGGTCAGAGGCATGGGAGGGTGAGAGAATTCACCAGAGACAGAGCAGGGAGCAGAACAGGCAGATGGACCGAAGACACTGCTGAGGGGAGCAGCGGGCGAGGCAGGAGAGGTCTGCCGTACCATGTGGCAATCTCCCTGGCCGGCAGGAAGGGAACCCGCGCTGCAGAGGCTGGGGACAGCTTCACAGCACTGCGCTCCATTGGCTGTGCCCAAGCTGCTGCGCCACCAGGGAGGCCCTAGCCTTCAGTAATTATTCCTGTTAAAAATCTAACCTCCATTTCATAATAAAACTTAGAAAAAACTGATTTATTCATAGCAATTTGGAATTCATTCTGACAATAGTTGTATTAACTTGACAACTAAGTTTGTTATAAAATAGATGGAATTTTTCAGGAAGGATGTTTAGCATATGATTTGTAAACACCTTAAGACTAGTTGCATACATAGAACGAGTTATGTAATAGCTGTTGAGTATACTGTAAGCAGATTAAGGATGTCCTTAACTTGGCTTTAAAATTGTATTCATAGCAATATCTAATTTATAAGGGATGATGTATTTAAGCACTGAAACCTCATTCACTAGTTTTTGTGGAAATGAGTTTCAGGCTACACATGTTAACTTTTTAGAGGCCAAGGTGTTTAATTTGAATATCTACTAATGTACTAGGTTGATAGCCCCCTTAAAAGGGAACGCATGCTTGTCTGGCACTGAGTGGATGCAAGGAGCTGGAGCATCTACTTTCAACACTTACTTCTAATCTGTTGTCTTGCTTTCTACGGAGCATTTGTGTCTCCCTTGGGGACAGAAGTGCTTGCACTGTGAGATAGCCAGCTATCTGTCGTCCCTCAAGGCTTTCTTGCCTACTTCTAGTGTTATCTTCTCGATGGTTGCAACAGCCAGGAACTGGCCTATGGAGACACTGAAAGATACTGCAACATCAAAATCCAGAGTTACAGCTTGTAACTAAAATTAGCTTAGCAAAGAGATCAGCATAGGGTGGCTGTGTAAGAATTTAACAAAACAAATTATTTTCCTGAGGGGGAGGATTCCATCTCTTTGAAATTTTGTATGCTATTAAAAGAAATTGCATTTTACTGGTAATAGCAATCCAGTATGCATACTAATGGCCGCAAGGACATTCCTGATCTCAACTAGTCCATTACTAAGTTGTTGTCTCTAGGAATCAATACTCAGTACAAGGCATCCTTTTCTACTGGAGCCTGATATTTTGCCTGGTATTTCATCTTTCCTACATCTCTCTCTTCTTCCACTTGAGTTATCTGGAACATTTTAATGTTCCATTTTCTGAAATTCTTTCCTCAGCAAGTCTAAGGATTCCTTGGCTCTTGTCAGTTCTGTCATTGCATTCCTCACAAACATCGTTTCTACTTGGGTTTTCTTAAGAACTTAAATTTCTTTGGTGAAGAATTACTTGTGTTCCCGGACATCTTTTCTGAGGTTCTGAACTACTGGTTAGCGCCTCCAATTCTGACTCAAATTGGATTCAGCTCAATTATCCATCTCCAGGTCGCCTTATCTGTGCTTTCATTTACATGCTCTTGCCCCCTCCCCCAGAGAAAGTGGTTTTACTTTTGGGATCCTCCCCGTCAAGAAGATGGGAGGGAAGAGAGTGTATGTGAGGAGGTGGGAGCCCAGACGCCTCAAGGAAGTGTTCAGATTGGGTGGGGAGGGCACTGTTCTCTCTCCATGGCCAGCGGCTGCTCCGACTATCATGGGGGCTCTGTGATTTGCAGCCTCAGGAGGAAAGAGCAGGAGGTGGGTGCCTTACACCAATCTTACTTTACACTTTAACCAGATCGATGCTCTAGGGCTATTATTGTTCCAGGGCTCAGCTAGGAAGACACAGTAGGTGGTGGTCCCCCGTGTCAGCCCATGTGTACTAGAATCTGTCCTCCCCAAGTTTGTGCACGAAAGACCGCTGCCATGTCCAATGCTCCCCTCCTCTCTCCCTGCTCCAAAAGTTAGCTAGTAACAGAGCACCCACCTCAGGGAGAAAGATGCATGAGATGTGGTGCTGAGGTAAGTGTACACCCCCTCCCTCAGGTCTCAAAAACCTTTTCTAGTTTTCTTAGTACATGACTGGCTGTCCCTTCTTAGTCTCTGCTGCTACTTTATCCCCTGTCCTTCTAAATATTGAGTGCCTTAGTCCAGGCTTGTTTCTCTAGTTGGCTACGCCCTTGCAGATAGCATCAGTCTATAGCTTTAAAATACTATCTTTCCACTAGATACCAAAAATTTAAGTCCCCAATCTTGCCTCAAACTTGTTTCTGTTACATCCCAGTACTGGCATCTCTCTCCTTCCAGTTACTTAGGCCAGATCTTGACTTCTCTTACATCCTCTATCCAGTTTTTCCACACATGCAGCTCAGCCTACATGTATGCAGACTTTCACAACTATTCATCACCGCCACTCTACCTCTTACAGTCTGTCCTCACCACTACAGCAGGCAGGTCTGGACTTTGCCAGAATGACCTGACATTTTCCCTTCATACTCAGTCAGCTTTGCTTGCACAGCTGCCTTTAAGGCCCTGTGCAGTCTGCTCTATTAGGTCTTTGTTCAGATGTCACTTAAGAACTTCTTAGACTCTCCTATTTAAAATTAAACCTCCATCCACACTTATTACCCCACCTCACATTCACCCCCTATACTATTTTCTTTCCGGTCTCTGTATTAGACGTAGGTAAGGTTTTTGTTGGATTCACTGGCCTGGCTACGCTGGAGGCTCTTGAATGATAGTTATTACATGTAGGACAGAGGCAGACTCACAGCTGGTGATTAGAGCAGACTTTTTTTTTTTTTTTTTTAAGTTACTGCTTTATATTTCCACATTTTATAGCTTTTCTAATTGAAATTGAGGGCAAAACCTTTTGAAAAAGAAAAAAGATGGCATTAAGCAATGTAAACATGTAGACTAATACAAAACTAACCAGTGAAATTACTTTTTTTAAATTTCTTTATTCATAGCTTTTTAGTAGTTAGAATAACATTCAGGTGGTCTCAATTTATTTGGAAAACATTTCAGCAGGTCAAGACAACCTGAAACAGTATGCTTTTTAAACCTTGAAAATGGGGAGGAAACAAAAAGGTGTATAAAGCACAAACCCCTTCCCTACACCTTTCACTCTATACACTGTAGTATCTGCATTTGGCTGGGGAATGAGGCCAACAGCCCATTTTTAGCCTCAAGTTTCTCTAGCATTTGTTTACACATACTCTATCACTTCTAATCTAAATTGCTAGTCTTCAAAAATTGTTAACATTTTAATCTCTTAATAATTAAATCTCTAACACTTTTGGCATTGATTTTATTTAGATTGGAATGTCATGCAATATAATGTTCAATCTAAGTTGGCAATGAATTTGACATACATGGTTATTGGATAGATTGATAAGTCAATCTACTTCAAACTTAAATATTAGAAAGTGTGATTCGCTAATGCTTCAATGAAGAGAAAGGGCATTAGGTAGGAATATGTTTTAGTTTCAACTCTTTGAAATACCCTGTAAAGACACGCATGCTTAAATCTTTTTCTCTCCCCACCCCGCCTTGCCAGCATTACTTAGAACCTCCAGTGAAACTGAAGGAGGCTCTGGAAAGATATGGACTTAAGACTGAAGATTTTTTTGTTTTGAAGCATGGAGAATCAAGATACCTAAATACTGATGAAGCCTTTGAATTATGAGCATAGCAGCTTTTAGTGGAAAAAGGCATTACCTGCTACAAATTTTTACATTTGGAAACAACTTCCGCAAGTTTGTATTTTTATGCTTTGTGTAATAATGTGCTAACCTGATTGCCAGTTCACAAAAAGTTCAAGTATGGATCATTTAAATAATCAGTTGGCTAATAAGGATTCTAAATCTTGTCTCAGTGATATAACATTGCAGTTGAATTTTTTAAACAAATGCATCCTGAGGTTATGAAAAACTGGTCTTAAAAAGACTTCTTCTAAAGGGCCTTCTACAATGTTAATCAAGGCTGCCTGCGTACATGGATTTCTTCAGAGGCCTGCACCTATGAACATAGTTCCTACATGCGTATTAAGTGATGAAATTTACTCTCATGCTGATAGGGCAGTTCTTGCTCTATTAAGATTAGCTTATATGCCAAATGTTGGGTTTTTTTGTTTTGTTTTTAGCATAAAATCATAGGAGTAGTTTGGGCTAAGTTTACCTTTTAAAGCAGTTCTTTTTGACAGGGGAATTGTGTATTGTATGTCTACAATGCCCAAATTAAAAGGCCTCTGAGTGGGCAAAGAATGTGATTATGAGAATATGACATGAAATTTCTATTTTTGATCCAAAAGTGAAATCTGCTAAGTACAAATATAGCTGCAAGAAAAAACTTTCCAAAGCTAAATGCAGATCTTAGATGCTAAAAGACCATATATTTTGAATTCTCATTTTGTTTTCCTATACTCATTCAGTAAGATTTATAAATTATTAAGCCAGTGTAGAATTAAAGATGGTGATTTTGGGAATCAGCTGACTGGAATTTTAAGTCCTATCAGGGCTCTCTAGTTACATGACTAATCTGAGCTTCCCTACATCAGAGCTGCAGGAGGCCTATTCTATCTTCCTGATTCAGTCTCATGAAATCATCAAAATAGGCTATCAAATTGCTACCCGGGCAGTGCTCCATGATTTAACTTGTACATTATGCATGCCACATGTTAGCCACTAATCTGCATCTTAAATAGCTTACCTATGTTCACTGTGCCTCAGTTTCCTCATGAGCAACAAGAGGATAATTTTTACCTACCTCCAAAAAATGTGAATGTGAATTAAAAAAAAAAAAAATTGGAAATGTAAGGGAGAAAACAATTTAGGGGAGGGCTGCCTAATCACAGGCAGGTTTGAAAGCTGAAAATAGGCTAATAATGTTTTTGATAATGTGCTGCAGATTTAAGTCTAAGGACAGGAAACACTGGATGCAATTTTTATCTCCATTTTATAAATTTGGAAAGGGATAAGCCAAAACAAGTGTAAAAAAATGTAAATGAAATTGATCTTTATCAAAAATTAGCATCTTTGTAGATAAAAATGCTAATCCATCAAGGAAAAGTTTGTCATGTGTACATATAATGTATGTGATTTGGGGGCACTAATGCACAAAAAATTCCCCCACATAAAAGAAACCTACAGGAAAAACTGAGTAAGCATAAACTTTAACTCCAAAGGAACATTTAGCTAGATTCACCGTCATGAATCAAGATGTTAGATTACTACTGGCCAGGGTTTTTGTTATCTTCCTTGCTGTTGCACACTGAACTGAAATGTCATCTCTTACCTGTGCTTTACAAAATGATAAGCCAAATATATCTTGCTTCTTTTCCATGAATGGCCTTAACATTTTTTGTATTCACATGTACTGTTTAACTGAGAGTCTCCAAGCACTTCAAATTATGTTCTAGTTCCACTTAATTGGGCCTGTCTCATCAATTAAGAGAAATTCTATCTAATGAAAGCTAAGCTGTGTCATGACCTATACGGATAAAGATCAATGTGAATTTTCACTATGTATTTCTCTCTGGGTAGTTAAAAATTACTCCTTTTCTCTAGCATTCTGACATTTCATCTGACTGCCAGGAAATGAGACTACTTATTCAAACTAGAAGAGACAGTTTTAGAACCTAATGTTGAAAAAGCACTATGAAACCAAATCATGGTTTTGAATGTGTATATTTTGAACACATTTTCATTAAGGGGGCAGATTTAAGGAAAAAGTTATAAAGAAATGTGCCTTTCAGGGAATGCTTATGTTTGCATCATAAATAAAAGTATTATTCTAAAGCACCACATATATATTACTAGTGTGGTCATTTGAATTGCCATATTCACCTTGCACTGAATTTTTTCCTACCATAAACCTTTTTTCCAAGTTTGATTTCTGTTTCAGGATAACCTGAGACTTTCGCATTTTTCTGTTTGAGATTTTCTGACTTCCTGTGGACACCATGTATGTATAAATGAAATTTAAAGCTTTGTCTTAAATGAACATGAAAGCATCTGTTTGCGTACCTATTTAATACTAAGCATGGTGGTGCTATGAACTTGATAATTATAAAAACTTTGTTGAAATAAAAGATAACAGTATTGTTTTAGTAGCTTTTGTGGACTAAGATACTAGTTAAAAAAGTAGCTGAGAAATTTTAAAAGTAGCTGTGACTTTAGCCTAAAGTCACAAAATATGCAAATTTAGTACTATCAATTAAGAGGAAAAAACAACCTTGTGATTCCCCTCTAACTGTAAAATTTATGTTCAGAGTAAAAATTTAAACAGTAAAAGAGGGTATAGATAGAAAAGTAATTCTAGAAGTACATTATATAGGCATAAATATTTTTCATTTAAAAACCACAAAGGGGGTTATATATGTTTAAAAAATACCTACGTTTCATGGATTTTTCCCACATCAGCATATTCGGACCTGGTTTGTTATTTTTAAAGACTAACTCATTGATTTGTCCAATCACCAATGGATATTTCAATTGGTCCCAGTATTTCATGTATAGCATCTTTGCATATTGACACACTGAATGGCAGTTAGTACTAGGACACATTTCTCCTAGAAGTTTACTGTTTTCATTAGCTAGAACAGATTCTAATGATTACAACAGGCTTGAAGCAGTATATCTGGGGTGGCAGATGGACTAGAGCTCTCAGGAACTCATCACTACTAGAAACGAGGTCATCCCAGGCAGTTCTGAAACAACTCATTACATAACCAATCCTGCCTCAGGAGTAACTGCAAGTCACCTGACACAGTAGAAAAAAGCTCACTTCATGCAAATAGTTGAAGTATCTCAACAAACAGATACAAAATAAAGATATCAATGGTTGCAGAATAAGCTTTTATATTCAGTTTGTATCAATAAAATGGTCCAAAATACACCAGAAAACCATGGCAAGCTGTAACTGTGCTAAGGAGTTGTGATAATTTACTACTTAAAAATCAGCAGCTGAAAGAATTCATTTTAAGGAAAATGAAAAATAAACTTACGTGAATTGCTTCCAGACTGCATTACTCTTTGGAAAAACATGGCCGACCAATTACAATTTTTGTATTATTGTTACCTTTTCTTTCACGTCCGCATCATGGTGATAAACTAAAGCTCTCATTTTCTGGGCACATTCTTCTCCATATAACAGGAAAAATAGTGAATCTTTAGTGAAATTAGGCTGCAGAGCTAAATAGCCTTCCTTTTTGAGGCAGTTATTTATATTCTGAAATAGCGTAAGAACTCGAACAAGAATCTCCTTTGCTACGTGGCCATCATAAAGGGAAAGGAACGATGAATCCACCTGAAAGACGAAGTGATGAGCATTACTTTAATAACTGAAAACATTTTTCATGTATATTTTCACATTTTAAAACTACTGAATACATATATTTAAATCTTGTCAAAAGATTACCCCTATACTGTACAATAATGGAAAAAAAGGTTTTAAAAGGTTTTAAAGAAAAAAAAGGTTTGCAGCTGAAAACTATTTCTTTGGAATCCTAGAATTGAAAAACATTCATTTCCTTTTTAAGATCACCCGTAGTCTTCACAGGGAGCCCTTAATTCCCCAAACCTTTACTGCACACCTGCACTTTGGGCACAGGACCGAGCAGACGACTACCTTGGGTCCTTTTTCTGCAACAGCAGAGGGCTGTTCTAGCTCAGCATCACTTTGGCTTCTTCACAACACCTGCACAACTTTAATTAAATTATATTCATTTTTTACATATCTTTGTCTTCTCCATAAGGATAAGCACCATGTCATGCTACACTCACTGGCATATTTTGGCATTTCAGCCCAGCATCTGGCACATACTGTGGCTACTAAGATACATGTGAACATTGGTCAAGTAAAAGATAGGATGACATCAGTACCCCAAACAGGGTAGAGACAGAGTAATTTACTATTAGTAGGGAGAATTTTTCATAACAATTTTTGAAAGTAAAATATACTCATTACAGAAAACTTAGGAAACTTGCATAGGCAGAAAGACTCATGAAAGCCACCTTTACTATTGCTGCTCAGGATAATCCCTGCTAACATTTTGAGATAAATCCCGATTTCTGTCCAAACCTATGTATTTATTTGTATATTTACAGAAACAAAACAAACAAGAACCCATGTACGCTATTTACTTGGGCACCAAGTAGTCCTTCTGTCATGGCTGGGTTTTCAGACATATTCAAAAGCAGTTTCAAAACTTGAACCTGAAATAAGAATAATATTGGTTTATTTCAAACAAGCATGAATTTTCCCTCCTTGTCATGCTATCCTTTCACCATGTCCATAGTAATTTCCTGCCTATGTTTCAAGGTGTGGCTCACATTCTCTCTATGACGCCTTCTCAATTTACCCACTTAAAAGGTCTCTGAACTTCCGACACCTGCCGCCTCAGAGTACTTACCTCGCGCACCAACGAAGCTGTTAGGGAGAACACTGCGCATGTCTCCACAACCCGCCGAGCACTCACACACACACCCCTTGTATGTGTTAAACTTAACACATGTTAAGATTAATAAAGACCTTTTTTATGATTTCTGGTAAGTGAACTAGATCTTTGGAACTTGACATGTCAACTTTGGGATAGTTTGATTACCAATATTAAATAAGAGACAATACAGCCCTTTTTAATAAGTTACTATGAATCTTTAAGCTTGCCTCTTATGTGAAAAAATGCTTTACAATCATATCAATAGGCAGACTGATATAATCAGTAAACAAATACTAACTTTCTGACTAGCTTATCATTTATAAGTAAAAATTCAGTAATAAAAACATTCAAATGGAACGTCTCCTTTAAAAATGAAGTTATGTAAAATTATGCTTTCTGCAAGAAGCTTGAGGCTACAGGAAGGTAAGGCGCAATCAGGGGTATTGGTAATGAAGTCAGGAAAAGTGACAATGTGCTCTCCATCAGACCTGGGAAGGAACCTGGACATTTATCTTATAAAACTTTGATTGCAAAGACATTACAGAAAAGCACAAAAAATGCCCAGAAATGATCACTATAAAGGTTTAGTATTTTCTTTTTGGTCTTGAGGTCTCTATCCTACATACTCACACAGTCCTTTGCATTGTATATACTAATGTGTTAATTAGGCGGAGGAGATCAAGTTTTGCTTTATTTTCTTGTTTTGGTCAACTTTTTATAAAATACACAGTCATGATACATTTCAAGCAGTGCAGAAGGTGAAAACGAAAGCCACCATCCTATGGGCCCACTCCATTCCCCAGGTGAAAGCAATTAGGCTAACTGTGTCATGTGTATGTGGAGACCACAGGTTTTTAAACATCCTTTTAAAACCATGGCCTCGTAAGGTAAGAGAGTCAAGACCACTGCTGACCCTCCCGCAGCGCACGCCCCCTGGAGGTCTGACTGGCTGTCAGCAACACAGACTAAGCGTTAGCAGTAAACACCCGTTTCCGACAGCAGTGCAGCTTTGATTAGGAAAATGGACGAGAGATATGAAATAGGATGGTCCTGGGCCTTCTGACATAAGCCTGAGATCAAGTCAATTAGACCTTACTAGGCCGACTAGTAGTCAGCGAGGGCAGGTGTACAACCAGGGAATGGTACAGCAAGCGTTAACTAGTATCCTCACTGAGATCCCATGCTGCTATGGAACATGGAGGAACCTGCAGGAATAAACACAAAATACAACTACGGATAAAACAATGCAACGTATTTTGGTTTGAAACCATGGCAGGTCTTGTTTTTCTCTTGTCACCTGTGCCATCTTGTGGTGGCACCGGGGCATTTCTCCTACGTCATTAATTTTCTTTGTTCCTACTGCAGATGTAAGCAAGGCTTGTTCACTTTAATCTCACACTATTTGTATTTAGTTATGAATCAGTGTTGCACCTAAGAGGTTATTATAGTTCAGTGAGATCATTTATTAAAGTCATCTCAGTGCTTACTTAACTAAAAGGGATACATTTTCCCCACCTACAAATGGATTACAATCCAAAAGTTCATTTGCAAGTTGGAACTATAAAGTCATTTTTCCATTGAAATGGTATTCAGATAACATTTGACAATGTTATAGGTGGTGGTTAGGTTAGGATTCCAGATGGACCAGAAAAGCACATTTTTGCTATACCAAAGATATCCTACTAGGGGAATGCAATGGCAAAACAAAACAAAAATCGAAGATACTATTGTGGTGTGAGTCACTTTCTACAAAGTCCTCAGATAGATCACAAATTAGCCCATGTCTGAGACAGACCTGTGTAGCTCTGAACTCAGTATTCCTCCTGAGGTTTGGGGCATGGCGGCTGCAGAGAAAAATTATTCCTGTACCTGCAAATCCAAGGACTAGAGGGAAAGGGAATTTCCGTGGGGCCTTAGGTGGGAAGTGAACTTACTCCACTAGAGAGAGAGTTGCTGGGTGTACACATATTGGAAATTGCCTTGGATGAAGCAATATTGCTAAGATACTGATAGGCTATTACATTTAATTTTGAATGCCTTTTGGAACATGCTGGATCAGATACAGATATTCTGGGTCCCACAAATGTGAAATGTTCATATAATGTTATCTCATAACAAATTTTTAAGGGAGGACGACACTGAGCTTTCTGTAGTCACAATTTGATAACCCCAGAAATTACTTGTGACGACAGTATTTGGAACATGGCTTCACATTTGGTTTTCCTAAAATGTGCATGTACTTTTCTCTCAACTGTGCCAGAGAACATGGACAATATAGTAAAACCATGGTGAGTAATCAGCTCAACCTTTTGATCATATACTGCTGTTGATGCTATTTCTTACAAAATGGCACTTGACAAGCATGCACACAAACATGAGGGGTTTAACTCAAGTAACCATCATAGGCTGTCTCCTGAGATCCTGTTTAGTTCAGCTCAATCTCTGTTGCCTGCTGCATCTGCACGACTGGTCCAAGTGAAGCAGAGACATTCATTTCCAGAACTTAAAAGTGGTTTTAGAAAGATTTTTCAACAAATAATGGCTAAATAAGTAGGCAAAAAAGTCAATAACCAGCACTCACTCAGTTTCCTTCCTATCACATTCCTTGCATCTGGTGTGGGAAGCTAGCTACTTCCCACAGTAAACTCATTTTCAGAAAACCAAATGAATATCAATCTACTGACAAATGAAATAACATGACTTTTACAAGTCTGTAAATTCAGTATTAGGACATAAAAATTATTTACTATCCTTAGCCACATGGACGGGTTTTTAATAAACCTTGACTGAAGTGTCTTTTCTGAGGACATCAACTGAGGATAGGTGACTTGTGAGTTCAATTCCCACCTCATGAGCTTGACACAACCTCCCTCTGCACTGGGTGCCACAGCCACTCCGTACCTTGGTGCTGCCGTTCCCGGTGAGCAGCACACGGAAGAAGCCCGTGAGGGAGCTGCTGAGCAGGTGCTGGTGGTCGTTGGTGACCGTCATGTTTGTCAACAACCTCAGGCCGGCCAGCTGCACGGCGGAGTCCAAAGGGCCGGAGAGGACATCATCGCAGACCTGACTCATGTACACCTGCAGGGGGAAGGGTGCACCTTCAAATCTCTAAACTTAGTGGGGCAGACGGTAACTTCCCTGTGCTGTGGAGCAGGGCAGTGGCTCGGGAGGAGACTGACTGCTCAGCAAGGATGACATGTCCACGCAGCCCTCACTCTGTGGCTTTATTTTTTTTTTAAGTTGCCTTTGTCAATGCAGGCACCACACTGGGCATCTCACGGGCACCCTTCACTTCAGCCAAAGGCAACTCTAATGCGGCAGGTGTCGTTATGGCTGTTTTACAGACAAGGAATTTATTTTTTCAAAGTTACAGGTGTCTCCTTGGCTGTAAAAGAAACCTCCTGATTAGAATCATTTTAATGGTGTCTATATAATCTGTGGGTAAGAAAAAATGCAAACTGTGTTTTAGTAGGACACCAAGTTCTGCTTATCCTAGAGAAACATCGGGAGTGAAACCTGTGCTGACCTTTTATTTTGTCCCCCACCACTCTCCCTTCTGTCCCCATGTTCCTTTCTCCCTCCCTCCTCCTCCCCCTCCGAGCTATCAATGCACACGGGTTTTTGTAAGTATTTTATCAAATCCATTTTTCTGAAAATAGCTGTACTTCACCCTTACTTACGGCTGAGGAGTGCTCAATAGTGTAGCTAAACCACGAGTTCTTGGTCCAAGAGCCTGCTGGTGGACAATCTAGGTTGCTGCCATGTCCCAACTATTGTAAATAATGCTTAATAAACATTGTAACACAGTTTTTGTGCTGATGTTTTCGTATTCTTTGGAGAGATGTGCAAGAACGCCCAACTGGGTTGTCTGGTATTTCCATTTTTTAGGTTTTTAAGGAAAATTCAGATTGCTTTCCATAATGGTGGTACCAGTTTACATTCCCACCAACAACATAACAGGATCCCCTTTCTCTGAATCTGGAGAGGTCTTTTTAATATGTGCCATTTGCATGGATGTGGGAGATTATACCTCATGGCTTTACCCTGCATTTCTCTGATTGGAAATGATGAACATTTTTTAAGCATCCGTGAGCTTTCTGGCTCTCCTCTTGGGTGAATTAACTGTTCATATCATCTGCCCATTAATGGGCTGTTTTTCTGTTGAATTGTGCTAAGATTTAAATATATTTTGAATATAACCCCTTATTAATTATATATTGTGTGAGTATTTTCTCTCATTCAGTAGGATTTTTTTTAAATCTTCTATAAGATTTAAAACATAAAACTTTTAAAAACTTTTAAAAACTGTATAACTTTTATAAAACTGTATAAAAACTTTTTCCCTTGAGGTAATCCCAATTGCTTTTGTTTTTACCTCCATTGCCATAGGGGCAGACAAGGACTTTAAAGTCTTCCAGGAGCTAAGGAGCTTGGCTCTCCTGCCCCAGTGTAAGTCAGCCTGTAGGGAACAATGTCCAGCTGCAGAGACCATGCTGTTGGCACCAGAGGCTCTAACTTGATGGGGGTCAGCCCAACACAGTCTGCCTTTCCGTGTCAGCTGCTCTGGGCATGCAGGATAAAGGAGGAAGATGTGTAAAGCATTTTGTAGCATGGTAAGGACATATACAACAGATGGAAGGAACAAAGTGCAATAAGTTTTTCTTTTTCATTCCATCAAAAGTAAGCAGAGGCAAAATTAAATTTGCCCCAAGATTCCTTATTTATCTTGCTGTTGAGGGGGTTCATATACAAACTATCCTTCATAATATTGTTCCCCACTGCCTGCAAAAAGTAATGCAAGTAGTAACCTTATTTTTATTACATAATAAAACTAAACCCAGAGTGATAGAAAGTTTTCTGGAACTATTCTCTGTTTGGTCATAATCTGTCCACCTTGGAAATATCATGTCTCACAGATAATTTGTATTCATCTAACTAAATCTGAACTTTACTAAAAGGTTTAACTGGTAAGAAAACTTTTAAGAAAACTTAAGTTTTCTTACCAATTGTCCCTTAACTTTTAAAAAAACATCCAAGCTATCATAGTAACCAAAGCAACAACAATAAAAGTTAAACTCTTATTATAGTTTCAAGAGCTAGATATTTATAAGTCAACTAGCTCTCTTGTCACAACTTGATTGTATGTCTATCCTTTAAAAAATGGCTTTTCTACTCTTTCTATATCACTTATCTTTGGAAGGTGGTGGTGTTTTCACAGCATTTACCAAAATGTGTTGACTATTTAGTCTTATTATCTCTGAATCCTTTCCACCACTGCAATTCTAGAACAAGATTATCAAATAAGCCAGCTCCGTGATTCCTGGAGCTCTGCCCTTCAGCTTTTTTCCTTCTCTTGGAATTTCTTCCTTCTCAAGTTCCAACTTTAAGAAACCTTACGTATTTTTATTTTATTTTTTTTCATCAATGTAGTTTTTTATTTATTTTTACTTTTTTAAATTTAAATTTTATTTTTTATATTCCCCATACAATTACAACCCCCTTATTTTGACCCCAAGCCCTCCTTTCCCCACCCCCCACCGAGTGTCTCTGGTTCATAGTTGTTTGTTGATTTTGATATTTTCTTTCTTATAGTTATTCTTTTTCCCAGTCCCTTATTTAGGTTTTCTAGATTCCTGCTATGAGTGAGACCATCCGGTATTTTTCTTTTTCTTTCTGGCTTATTTCGCTGAGCATGATCCCTTCCAGCGCCATCCACGTTGCTGCAAATTGCATGTGTTTATCTTTTTTGAATGCTGAGTAATATTCCATGGTGTATATGTACCACATCTTGATCCAGGCATCTATTTTTGGGCATTTGGGTTGTTTCCAAAGCTTAGCTATTGTAAATAGTAAAGTTAGCTGTTCTTTTTTTTATTTTTTTCCATCAATGTTGTTTTTTATTTTATTTTTTTTTAATTTAAATTTTATAACCTTACGTATTTTTAAGAGCTAGGTTGGAGTCTTCCCTTTACAGAAATCTCTCCTTTCTGTGAACTCAACAATATTTTCCTTAAATTTCTCCTGAAAGTACTTCATGTTTTTCCTTGATTTATAACTATTTATGGACTTGTCTTATCCTACTTACAGCTTTTTTAAAGCAAGAGTTAACTGTGCTCATTTCTAAATTCTACATCAGAGTAGGAGCTCAATAGTGATTAAACAAATTTTCTAGTTTATTGTGTATTTCTAAATATATACAGATATGATCCAATCCTCGCTGGCTTCTTTACTACATTTGGATTAAACTGAAGCTCTAATTCAAAAATCTATGTGCCTCTTCAAATGGCCAACAGGCATATGAAAAAATGTTCAACATCACTTGTTATCAGGGAAATGCAAATCAAAACTACCATGAGATACCATCTTACACCAGTGAGAATGGCACATATTAAAAAACTAGCAACAACAAATGTTGGCGAGGGTGTGGAGAAAAAGGAACTCTTCTGCACTGTTGGTGGGAGTGCAAACTGGTCCAACCACTGTGGAAAGCTGTATGGAGATTTCTGGACCTACTAAACATAGAGCTTCCATATGATCCAGCAATTCCACTCCTAGGTATTTACCCAAAGGACACAGAAACATCAATTCCAAAGAACACCTGCACCCCTATGTTTATAGCAGCACTGTTTACAATAGCTAAGCTGTGGAAACAACCCAAATGCCCAAAAATAGATGACTGGATCAAGAAGATGTGGTACATATATACCATGGAATATTACTCAGCATTCAAAAAAGATAAACACATGCAATTTGCAGCAACATGGATGGCGCTGGAAGGGATCATGCTCAGCGAAATAAGCCAAAAAGAAAAAGAAAAATACCGGATGGTCTCACTCATAGCAGGAATCTAGAAAACTTAAATAAGGGACCAGGAAAATGAGTAACTATAAGAAAGTGAAAATCAAAATCAACAAAAAACTATGAACCAGAGACACTTTTAGGTGGGCGGGGGTGGGAGGGGAGGGATTGGGGTCAGAATGGGGGGGCTGCAATTGTATGGGGAATATAACAATAAAATTTATTAAAAAAAAAAAAAAATCTATGTGCCTCTTATTGATTAGCTCAGTTTCCTCCCTCCTCTGCTTATTCTTTATCTCCCCCCCAAATAACCCCCCATCCAAAAAAACAGGGCAGAGAATGTGAACAGATGTTTTTCCAAAGAAGACTTACAAATAGCTAGCGTTCCACAAAGATACGCAACATCTCTCACAAGGGAAATGCAAATCAAAACCACAATGAGCTCAAACCTGTTAGAATGGTTATTATCAGAGACAAGAGAGTAAGTGTTGGCAAGGATGTGAAGAGGACTCTTGTTTGCTGTTGGAGGGAATGCAAACTGGCATGCAGTTATGGAAAACAGTATGGCGGTTCCTCAAAAAATTCAAAATAGAACTACCTCATGATCCAGCAGTCCTACCTCTGGGATATATATCCAAAGGAAATGAAGTTATTTTCTAGAGAATTCTACCACTGAACCCACTATGCACCAATGAAATCACATTCCAGAAGACAGCTGTATTCCCACTGTACTATTATTTACAGCAGACAAGATCTTGAAAGAACCAGAGTACAGTGATGGATGAATAAAGAAAATGTGGGGGGTGTGTGTGTGTGTGTACACACACATATCCATACCTGTACAGTCATAGATTCATATCCATGTAAACCCATATATGTACATAAATGAGTATTTCATTATATACATGGATAGCATTTAATTGTGTGTTTGTGTACACACACAATAAAAAGTAAGAAATCCCACACTTTGTGTCAAATGGATGGACCTTGAGAACTTAATTCCATAAATCAGACAGAAAAGTACCAAATGGTCTCACTTATATGTGGAATCTAAGAAAAGACAAATTCATACAGAGTGGCGTGTGGGTTCTGAAGGCTGGGGAGTGAAGGAAATGGAGAGGAGTCAGTTAAAGGGAACAAACTTCCAGTTATAAGATGAATAAATTCTGGGGCTACCATGTACAGCACGATGACTCTGGTTACCAATACTGTGTATGGAAGTTACTGAGAGTAGATCTTAAATGTTCTCACCACACACATAAAAGGTAATTCTGTGAGGTGGTGGATGGAGGTGGCGGTCGGTGATGTAATGGTGGTGAGTATTGCTTACCGTATGTATGCGCACCAGAGCCTCGTGTGGCACACCTTAAACTTATATAACATTGTTGTCAATTATATCTCAATGCTTCTTGCTCACATAAGAGATGGTCTCCTAAAATTTCATTATTTAACTTACTATTTTCCCTTTCATTTATAAATAACCTTACATATTAGTGATTTCAGGTAACATACCTTTATCTTGATTTGATTTTCAACATTCACACTCAGGTTATTCAGTGCATTTAAAGCCTTCTCTTTAATGCTGATGTTGGGATGGTCTATTTTGCTTCCAACAATTGGAATACCACCCAACTCACGAATAGTGACCTAAGAGGGAAACAAACAGGATCATGACTTCAATGTGCACCCCACTTTCACTGAGTTCTTTGCACCCACAAATACAAATAAAAATTAATGACTCTTTGGAATTATTCCAATATACAATCCGCAAATCCTACATCATTTTTTCTATCCATAATTTTATGGGTAAAAATCAATGAAAAATAAAATTGTTAAGCTATGCAAAGAAATATACAATGAAGATTTGCAGAGCTACTGCAATCATCTCAAAGCAATTTACAAACAAAATTATTTTAAATAAGTTATATGAATTCCCTATTATAGGAAAATTTAGAAAAATGTGATGGCATTCTTTTAAAGCAGTGCTTTGCTAAAAAGTATTTTTTGGAACACTTATACCTCAAGATGTTAATAGATGTTCAATTTAAAAAAGGAACATTTCATGGTCAAGTATGAAACTGAGTATAACAAAAGTCAACATGTTTCTTTATTGTGAGGCATTAAAAGGTTCACATGCAGTGGGAATCTCCAACAGGTGAGTATTTAATATAGTACTTTCTTGTACTGTATATAAAAGGTAGCCATTTCCAGTGGGGCAAGTGGGAGAAATATGTACTAACATCTTGCAGGACTTCCTCATAGTTTCAAAAATGTGTGAAAAAAATGTAATTTCCTTGAGTCAATTTGTTGACATTGTCATGAATGTAAAATTATTCTGAATTTATACTTCAATCCAGTTTTCTCTAGCATGGTAAGATTCCTGTAAAGCTCTAGAGATTTACAGGGAAACCTAAAGATGTTACGTTGAGATGTATCACACAGACGAGAGAGCAAGTATCTGCAAACAGCAAAGACATGGAGAGAAGCGAACCCAGGGTACTGCTGGCTGGGATGTAAATTGGTACAGTCACGCTGGAAAACAGTACAGGACTACCACATGTCCCAACAATCCTGCTTCTGGGTATATGTTTATATCCCAAGGAAATCCATAAGGGATTATGAGGAGACAGAAAATATGACTATATGCCTTTGGCCCCAACAATGAAAGATGTATCAATTGCTTCAATTCTTACAAGAAAAATAGCTGAAAATGACCTGTCAGGACAAAATATGTCATTCTATCAGGAGTCTCTTGCCATCATCTACTTTTTACCAACAGCCAAATATTCTACTATTAAGGGTGGGCTTAGCATTGAGTGAAAAAGAAACTTTCCTTCTGTAATTCTAGTTTCTTTTCAAGGAATTGTGGCAATAAGAAATTTTTTTTTAAACTGTACTGTTAAGTGATCAAGGCACTATAATTCACGAGGGGCAATGGATTACCCAAAGAAGCTGGTCAACAAGTGGATGCTCAATCACTGACTACACTTCTTTCAGAGGGCAGCTAACACTATGCTGTCAGAGTACCTGGTAAAGGCATGCTAATAGTCACCATCTATTCATCCGCCTGGCACCTCCTCTATCCCACATTATCCCCGGCAGACATTTCATCAATACTGTTCACATCTGTCCCTGCTGTTTGGTTACAGGGTGCACATGGGAGCCAGGTCTTGCACAGCCAGTGACGGATCCAGAGGTGGGCACTTGATCCTAGAAAAGCAACTACATCTTTTGGACCATGAGCTATAGGGATCAAGGCATGAGAGACCAGTGACTTTCAATTCAGCCTGAGAAGAAAACCTTTTTTTTTTTTTTTAAAGATTTATTTATTTATTTATATAAGCATGGGGTACAGTCAGAGGCGTGGGAGGGTGACAGAATTCACCAGAGCCAGAGCGGGGAGCAGAGCAGGCAGAGGGACCGAAGTACACTGCTGAGGGGAGCAGCGGGCGGCAGGAGAGGTCTGCGCGCCATGTGGGACCCTCCTCCAGTGGCCGGGGAGCAGCCGGGGATCAAACCGGCGCTGCAGAGGCTGAGGGCAGCTTCGCAACCCGGCACTCAACCACTGCGCCACTGGGGAGGCCCAAGAAAACCTTTTTATGGACCAATACACAATAAAAAGGGATACTCAGAGGCAAAAGATAAAGAGAGAGCTCTGATGAGCCTTTTGTAACCCTGAATTGCATTCTCTTCTGCTTGAAACCAATGCTATTCTTGGATGTTCAAGTGGGCTCATTATTTTCTCCTTTTGGTTTAAAATAACTTAAATTGGCTTGCAAAGGAAAGACATGTGAATAATACACAGTATTTTTATATCTTCCTGTACAATTATTTTATAGTAAACCTTGACATGGAGAAAACTGGAATAAAGTATACATCCAAAATTATTTTGTATCTATGACAATGTTAACGAAGGCATTAACTGAAAAACACTGTAAAAAGCTTTTGACTCTTTCCATGTGAGGAGGAGGGAAAAGGAAACATTTAAAGTTAAGCTCTTCAACCACATTAGTAGTTGTCAGATGTGGTCCAGGAATCAGTAGCATCAGAACTGTACTTGTGAGACCTATATGCAACGTAAGGCATATTCTTAAATGTTAAATGCTTTCATTACTTGACTGAAACAATCACTGCTAAATTTTAAATAATTAAAAAGAACATGTAATGCAAAGTGTTGATCAGATACAATTATTACCAGTGTGATGCCAATGACCAACTTCACAGGGATCTAGAAGGCTACTGAAATCGTATTAGGCTGTGTTTCTCAGAAGGAAACATTATTCTCTATCTTTAAGTAACTACATTGTATGGAGGAGGAAATGGAGGCTATGCACGGGTAAGGAACAGATGAGGGTCACAATTACTCAGTGTGTAAAAGGGGCGGAACCTGTTTGCTAGCACTAGCACACTTACTTGGTTAGCTGAAAAGGCTGCATTATTACCAACAGTGACCAAAGCTCTTTCAATAATTATAGGATCTTCAGTTGATTCGAGCAGGTAAAGGAGCTTCTGAAGTTGTTCAGGATTTAGAACATCATCACAGGAGCCATTAGTTAAGTCTTCTGTATAAGAACAAAGTTATTTAAAATTCATTTTAAATTAATGAGGTAAAAAACTTTAAACATCAAAAAATTAACTTTAAAAACATCATATGCATATCTGATTACTTGGTATAATTTTCAGCATCTTATATGCTTTATCTCATTTAAACCGCAAGCAAAGGAGTCCAGGGAGATGGGCTGAGTGAAGATCCAGGTTCGCCTCCTCCATATAATCACAATTAGAGTTGAACAAAGTAAAAAGACCCGAGGGAATAATGGAGAACCATCGCACACACCAGGAGCAATGGCCCCACAGAAAGAGGTAGGGAAGACTTTCAGGGAATTGTGTTTATAGTGAAACTGGGTAGTAGAACCCACGAGAGGTGGGGTGGCTGCTGTGCAGAACCCCCCTATAGTTGTTGACTCAGCAGTATATGCCAGTATCAGGGATTACTGAGACCCGACACTGCACTGGGTTGGGGGGGTGCAAAGTTGGTGCCCAGGACAATGGGACCTGCAGGGGGTTGGGTGCTGAGTGCAGGTTACTGGCTTACGCCAAAGCTCTCAATATCGAATTCAGGCTGGAGCCTGAATTGGAGCAAAACGGATCACCTGTGTCTCCTTGAGGACGAGGCCATTTCTGAAAGCCGTGGTGGGAATATTTAAAACACCTGCCAATGCCCAGGGGCTAAAAAAACCAAAACAACAAAATAATACTTGTGTAGAGTTCAAGCCCCTGTTAATAACAGGCGCAAACACCCCAGGATAAGGCTCTGCTGGAAAAGTACAGAACTCCCAGCGTGTGAACCCCCATATCAACTTACTCCATGCCCAGCACTGCCTCTAGTGTTCAAAATCAGCATTAGGTAGAAGGAGACACAAGACTAACTCTAGTAGGGGATCACTGTGGATCTCCAAAACACAGGTCTTGTAGTCACAGTACAATGGAAAGCTTGATTCCCTGACACTCACTGCTTGGTGACCCTTTGGTGCCCATTTATACCTACACGACCCCTCACCAGGAGCAGTGCTCCAGTTACTTTAACACAGTGCAAAGACAACAGCCAGCCTGGAAGTCAATCCCTATGACAACCCATTAAAATTAAAAAGGAGACAAAACATACCACAAGTCTCAATCCAGCCTGCAGCACATGAGCAAAGAGGAGTTGGAAGTGATAATTGCAACAATGTTTTGGGAACCACAGACAAACAAAACCCAGGATATTAAAACAGCAACAAACAAAATAACAGGCAGGTACAATTTGAAACACCACCTAAGAAACACTATAACCAAATATAAAAATACAGTAAGTGGGCCTCCCTGGTGGCCCAAGGGGTTAAGCACCGCAATATGAAGCAATCTGCAGCCCCTGCAGTCCAAGTTCTATCCCCAGCCAAAGAGAAACCCACATGGGGCAGCAGACCTCTCCTGTCTCGCTTGCTGCTCCTCTCAGCAGTGTATTTCATCAGTCTGCCTGTTTTGTTCCCCACTGTCTCTGGTGAATCCTCTCACTACCCCCTCCCCCACATCTCTGGCGTGTACCCCAACTCTTGTATGCTACAGGGTAAGGAAAAATGTCAGGCTTTTCTGCCCTCCTGCCATCAAGATAGATAATGGATCCTTGCAGTCCTGGAATAGGGTGTGGGCATAGGTAGATGGGATTTCACCCGGGCTGAGACTGGGCTTTTAAGGGCGGCGTCACAGGGATGCCAGCAGAAACCGAGAGAGAGAGAAGCAGAGCGAATGTGAGAGAAGGCCGGAGAGCCCAGATAGAGTGAAGATTTGCTGGGGGCTGGGAGGCCTCCCAGCCCCCCAGTACCTCTGCCTGCTGTGTACCTGGTAAACCCCAATAAAAGCCTGCAAAAAGCCACTGAGGACTGTGACTCCTCCTTTACCCAGTCAGCTGGATCATTGAAAATCTGCTCAGTGGCCATTCCTGACCCTACATATGCATAAACAAATCTTTAAAAAAATAAATAAAAATACAGTAAGTGCCTCACAGCAGAAAAATAGAAGTAATGGAGAGAACTAATGACAGTGTCAGAGAACACACAAATAAACAATGTAGAGAAAAAAGAATAAAAAATGAGTACTTTAGGGTAACTCAATGAACCAAACACTGTGATTGGAGATGCTCCGCCAATTCCAAACAAAATGCCAGACAGACAAACCAAGACACATAATAAAAAAGTCACTGAAAGCTTACACAGGGACAGAACAACAATATGAAAACAGCAATAATAATAATTTAAAAAAAGCCTGCGGGGACACCAAACTAACTGCCGGAAGACTTTTTAGTAGAAACATTACAAGCAGAAAGGGTTGCAGGGGATATTTAAAGTACTTAAAAAAAGGATTTCTAGTCCAGAATCCTTTACCTAGCAATATTAACATTCAAGAGAAAAATAAAAACTAAAAGAACTTAACAACACCAAGCCACATATAAGAAATCTCAAAGGTGTTATTATAAAGCAACAGAACAATGAACACAGAGGGAACCTAAATCATATAACATGGAGGAAGGAGAGAAACAACGTGGTCCATAAAAACAAGCCAGCAACCACATTGTCTAATAAGTGACATAATTATCTCATATATTAACCTTAATTAACCCATCATATACTAATGAAATTCAATAACCTTGAAGAAATGAACAAATTTCTAGACTAGTAGTCTACCCAGGCTAATCCAGGACTAATTAATCCAAAAACTAATCATTTAATCCAACTTAAATGAGTTGAACAAACCAATCACAAGTATGAAAATTGAAACAGTAATAAAATCTTCCAAAATCCAAAAGCTCAGAACTAAGCAACTTCATAAATGAATTTTATCAAACCTTTAAAGAACCAATGGCCCATTTCAAATTGTTTTTTAAAAATTCAATAGGGAATGTTCCCTAACACATTTCATGATGCTGATACTACCCTAGTACTGAAACCAGATAGCACAAGAAAATTATTCCAATATCCCCAATGAATATTGAGATGCAAAAATCTTCATGAAAATATTATCATATCGAATCCAACAGTATATATCACAAGGATTACACACCATGATCAAATGGAATTTATCCCATGGGTACAATGATGGTTTAATGTATGTAAATCAATGAAATACCTATCAACAAAAGGAAAGATTAAAAAATCATGATAGTATCAACAGATGCAGAGAAAACATTTGATAACATTCAGCACCCACTTATGAAAAAACTCTACACAAGATGGGACTAGAAGGAACCTACCTCAATAAAGGGCATACACTGCAAATCAAGAGCCAATATACACTTAATGGCAAAAAGCTGAAAGCTTTTCATGTAAGATTAGGAACAAGACAAGGATGCCTACTGTCGCCTCTTCTGTTTAACTTAGCATCAGACATTTTGGCCAGAGTTACAAGACAAAAACAGGCAATAAAGGGAATTCAAATCAGAAAAGTGAAACTATCACTATTTACAGATAATATATGATTTTAATAGAGAAAATCCTAAAAACTCTGTATTACAAAGTTATTAGAAACAATTAATGAATTCAGTAAAGTAGCAGGTTACAAAAATCAACAAATATCCAAAGCCTTTATATAAACAATGAACAAGCAAAAGAAATTCAGAACTGCATATTTGTTTCAAAAAGAATTTCCTAGGAATTAACCTAAGGGGGTAAAAGACCTATAAAACAAGAGTTATAAGATGTTATTAAAGGATGGACATAGAGACACAAGGTGATGGAGGAAATCTATGCTCATGGATGGGGAGAAACAATATAATAATCAACATTATTAACATGGCCATCCTCCCAAAAGCAATATACAGATTCAATGCTATTCCAATAAAAATTCCAATGACATTCTTCAAAGAAATAGAACAAATACTGATGAAATTCATATGGAACCACAAAAAAAAAAAAAAAAAAAAACAAACAGCAATAGCCAAAGTCCTACTGATGAAAAGAAAACAAAGGAGAAAGGAGGTATCACACTTCCAAACTTCAAGCTATACTACAAGCCATAATAATTAAAACGGTTTGGTACTGGAACAAAAACAGACACACAGACCAATGGAACCGAATAGAGAGCCCAGAAATAAAGCTGCTCTTATCTTTAACAAAGGAGCAAAGAATATGCAATGGAACATGGACAGTCTGTTCAATAAATGGTGCTAGGAAAACTGGACCTCCACATGCAAAAAAATGAAACTATATCACTACCTCTCACCGTGCACAAAAATCAACTCGAAATGGATAAAAGAACTGGACATAAGACCTGAAACCATAAAATATATAGAAGAAAATATATGTAAAACACTACAAGACATACATCTCAAAAACATCTTTAAAGACTCATCACCCAAAGCAGTGAGAGTGAAGGCAAAGATAAACACCTGGGATTACATCAAACTGAAAAGCTTCTGTGCAGCCAGAGAGACATTAACCAAAACAGAGAGACACCCCACTGACTGGGAAAAAAATCTTTGCACTCCATTCAACTGATAAGGGACTGATCACAAAGATATACAAAGAACTCACAGCACTCATCAAAAACAAAATAAACAATCCAGTCAAGAAACGGGCAGAAGAACTCAAAAGACATTTCTCCAAAGAGGAAATGCAAATGGCCAACAGGCATATGAAAAAATGCTCAACATCCCTTATAATCAGGGAAATGCAAATCAAAACCAGTCTGAGATACCACTTTACACCAGTAAGAATAGCACATATCAAAAAAACAAGCAACAACAAATGTTGGCAAGGATGTGGTGAAAAAGGAACTCTCCTACATTGCTGGTGGGAGTGCAAACTGGTCCAGCCACTGTGGAAAGCTGTGTGGAGGTTCCTCAATCTACTGAAAATGGAGCTACCATACGATCCGGCTATTCCACTCCTAAAGATCTACCCGAACGACACAAAAACACTGATTCAAAAGAGCACCTAAACCCCTATGTTTACTGCAGCACTATTTACAATAGGTAAAACCTGGAAACAACCCAAATACCCAAAAATAGATGACAGGATCAAGAAGTTGG